TCATTTGCTACAACAGATATCAATTCAAGACCTGCACAAAATCAACATAATTCATCAAAAATTCCTACTTCAACAACTTCATAGAAAGAAATTCACAAATTAATCAAAAAAATTCAATACGAGAAAGAATAACAAAACTTTATTATACTGTACAAGTGATGCAAATGGTAATACCAACACCAGTATATCTATCTATACCTCAAACAAGTTTATATATCCGTCCAACAAGTTACTGTAAAAACTGTAAATTAATATCTGATATAGAATTTAGATTTAAATAAAGGCAAATATCTTGTGAAGAGTTTTATTTAAAAAATGTTTGTAAACATTCTACGTACGTACGTAAGCGTTTCTTTTAATTCATTAGTATTTAGTACTTACATATAGCTAGTATAACTAGTAATAGTAATAAATATTATAAATATTTAAGTATTTGTCTTCTAAGCGAAGTACCTCGGTGAATTCCGTGTGAAATGTTACAATCTTAAAAAGTATAAATTAGTTACCTGGGTAATTGATTCGGATCATGGCGCGTGAAAATTTTTATTGTTTAAACTGCATTTTCGTGATGATTCCTGGTAACTACGTACATAGTTGATGTATCCTTATCGTTACCATCAGCGATTAATTAATTAATTAGCGAATTATACAGCTTTACTGACATTGGTTCATTGATTCATTGGGAATATGCCCGATGGAAACCAAATTTAACAACTAACTACAGTAATTAAAATTTTATTCGATGCATTTACTTTACTAAAACGTACGTACGTGCGTACGTACCTACCTGTGGTGTTTCACACTTATACATGCATTATCTCAAAAAACTGGAGTGTTCTACTTAAGTAAAAAAAAAAAAATTTCTATACTTAACCCTATATATCTGTCGGACAAGTGGGTTGTCCGATGAAATTTAAATTTCTAAAATTGTCTAATTTTTTTTTTTAATAAATCTGTTCAGAGTCAAGCAAACCAAATAATTAGGACAGTATTATACTGCCACTATATATGTGGGTAATTATTTTGGATCCAGACCAAAATGTTATTACGTCATATATAAAATTGGTCCGGGTTCAAAAATAATTACTAGATCAATGGACATCGGACAAATTTATATGTCCGGTGTCCGATAAAATTCATCGGACATAGAAGGCTGCCCAACCCTGATATATACTAACTTTTAGCATGAAACAAAACTTGTAAAATCTAAAATCATAAAAATATATAATAGGTGCAAAACACCATGTGTTTTATAATAAATGTTTAATTCTACAGTAAAATTTTCATTGATTTGATTAGTTGTTAAAAATATCTTGAACAATTTTTTTTTAACTACCCGGTCAATCTTATAAATATTAATAACGACGTGACTTTATTAATCAATACCGTATCACACTGATCAGTCATGATTAAAAAACTAAAACTGCCTTCCATAAATGAAAAGCGTGTATGCATTTAAAAAAAATTTTTTTTTGCTGAAATAGGCCTTAGCAATAAGTTTTTGATGGGTATTTTTTTTAATATATAAAGTCTTTTAATCTTTTAAATCAATGCGACACGGATATAGGAATTGTATCTGGTCATCCGAAATTCCGGATAACTCGGATACAGGTAAGGATTTTCTCAACAGGTATGTATACGTAGATTCTAATCGATGTGTTTATTATCATCGCTCTTTTCGATTTACGTGCAGTTTGATCGACCGCGAGTCCTGTGATTATAATATGTTAGTCTCTTCAACTTCGTCATATTTCACGGGATTCATTTTAATTATTCATTATTGTTTTCCCTTTTATCGATAAATATGTTTCACAAAATACGACAATAGGTGGACATCTATATTGTATTCACGGACTCACAGGGTTCAAAAAGAGCATATCTATGAAACATCTTATTTTACATAATTTAGATTATTGCGTATCATTATGAGATGCTAATAAAAAAAAAGAATGCAGGTAGAAGAGATTTATGCCAAATAAATTAAATAATTAAGCTAACTCTTTAATAATAATTTCGACATATTGATCATAAGTCTCACATCATTAATCGCGTCTTCCATAACTTTTCCACTCTTGATACCTGTTAATTCGATAAAATAATTAATATTATTATGATATATGTAAAAAGATAAATAAAATATCATATACACACAAATTGCGGATATTCGGGATCTTTTAAAATATTCATAATCCATGCTTGAAGTTCTTCATCATCATTAGGGAGCGAAAAAGAGTTTACAACATTAACCACCTTTTGAGAGGAATTCATATCATTTGATGGTGGTCGTTGATTTAATGTATGGATTTCTAAATTATTGTTTTGAATAGGAGAGGTTTGTTGTTGTTGCGTTGTTGAAGTAGGAATTTTTGATGAATTATGTTGATTTTGTGCAGGTCTTGAATTGATATCTGTTGTAGCAAATGA